CGAATATGTACATGGGCAGAGAGTCCACTATAATATTGTTAAAATGGCTCTAAGTCTGTCTAACCAGGGTGCGGACAATAATCGGCATTTAGCTTCAGGCGCTAAGCGGTTAAGTAGTACATGAAGCAACATTGGTGGGCCTTGAACAAGTACGTACTACTAAAAGTCTTTTAAGCAACCCATAACTAGTTTAAGTGTATAGGTTAAGCACTCGTTCAATATTCTAATAGGTTACACAACTTCTAAGTAATAAAAATGATGACTTAAGTTGATTATAGGTTTTTTAATGTTATTCCTAGCATTCGCATTCGCACATTCGCATTCCGAAAATTCGCATTCGCATTCGAAAAGCGTAAAAAATATGACATTCGAAACATCCCTAGCATGTATATCCTATGGATATGTAACTAGTGGGTGCGTCTGCTGGTGACCAAATTGTGCTAACAACTTAGTTGGCTGGCCGTTATGGGTCAACAAAATAAAATATTCGAGCCAGCGACCAAGCACTCAACCGAGTAGGTGGACGCGCCCACTGAGATGGACTGTGGGTTGTTAAGTTTGTTTGTGATTACCTTCTGGGCAAACGGGCACGCTTTTGTTGAGATATGTATGTACGCATGTGAATATGTGTGTTCGAAGGTGTGTTCGTTGTCATAATTATGATCAAGGACAATGACCGAAATTCATGTTGTATGGCATAGCAGTATATTTCGTTATATCGATTGTCACGCATACATGCCCGGTGCTCTGTCCAGGGACCGGCAATACTCAACTACATACTACAAGCTTCGTTGGCAGTGAGACCACATTCCTTTTGGGCGCCGGCCATTTGTAAATAGCTCTTGTTTCAAATCAGTTATATTCCTCGTAGGAGCGTTAGCCTAAACTTAATGAACATAATATTCAACTGCCAACTGCCAACTGTCCAAAATATTTATGTGACAAAAGTTTCATTAGTGTTAGAGTTTGCATTGATTTAATTGTTTAAGAATGAAGGGGATTGTCTGAGGGGCTGGGCTATTGAAGTGGCATGGGTGATTTGAAAAGTGTGGCATAAACAACAATGAGCGGAAGTTATGTAACCGAAAGTGGTGGCTTATTTTAATTAGCATTATAGAATTGTTTGGAAACTTTCTTTTGGGAATTTGTAACGCATTATCGGAGTGCGAAAATTAAAAATCATTTAAGCTTTTTAAAGCATTTTCACTTTGGTGTCATAAAAAATTGCATCCTTGCCGAGTCCTAATAAACTAAAACAGAGTTTTTTCAGACTTGTTTTTAACCTGGTTCTAAAATGCTTTGTATTGCTGAAAATATATTTTTTAAGCACTATGAGTGGAAGATCGACTTATCTCGGTAGCCAGTTCGAAAACGCCCTATTTAGAATTTTATTAAAATCTGTATGATTATTTTTAGCCAGCATTCCCTGAAGTTATATAGTGACGATGTTATAGATTTTCCAGAGAAGTGACAAAAGCTTACCGGTGAAAGCTGCACACATAACAACATATGGCCCAAAACGCGGACTGTTATATTACAATTTGGCTCATACTGATTTTTAAATACCGCTGAAACTCGCGAGAATGCAATTTTCGAAGAATTTTTCTTCTTGCATCTGAAAGCATAAGTATATGGCATTATTTAATACATACAAAGGTATATTGTAACTCGTGTGGTTTAGGAGTTATGAATGTTTCAATAGCGGACTGTTGCATTACAATTTTTGGAAGTACTTTTTAAATTTGCTTTGTATTATTGAAAAAGTCTGCTCTCCTAATATAATGTTTTAAAAATTTGGTACACAGTTTCTTAGCTTCAGGATGGAATTCAAGAACTACGTAATAATTGAACTGATAAAATTAATTTTGAGGTCAATATTTGTAAAAAAATAGTCGGACTGGTACGCTACAGAAAAAGACTGTTACGTTACCTGTGCGATATACGTGTAGCGATAGGATTATAATTAGGTATTTAAATCGCTTTTAGTGTGTTTTATGCAAAAAGTAGCATGAATTCAGTAGTCTTGCGATGTGACAAGTAATTCAAAGAAATTAAGAACATGATAATTATGAATACAGATTGCAAAGTTTCTGATGCTGTGCAGCCGTAGGTCGTTTCCGAAGTAATTTTCTGCGTAGAACTCGAACTCGATCTTAGAACTGCGCCAAGTTGTTGAGTTTTTCGCGTTTAATTTCACGAAAAACGGCTTTAATGGCTTATTTTGTTTGCTCTATGCTATTTAGTACTATTCTTATCCTTCAAATGTTGGATTCGAGGACTCGGCATTTTGTAGAATAATAGTAGTACTAGAAAAATAGCTGAAATAATTCCAATAGATTCTTTATTATTTAATCGGAAAATCTTCCTCTCTCCGCTTCTTAGTTCGCTTCTCTTGACTTCGTTCCATTTTGAAATAATATAACTCTCGCGTTTTTTATTTTTCTACGTAATTCTTATCTTCTCAGTGTATATAAGTTAGAAAAAATAACAGTTTTAACTATGGGACAATAACACGTTAAATAGCTTCCAATGTTGCTTGTAAAATGAGCCCCATCTTTAACTAAATAGGAAAAAAGGTTACCTAAAAATGAAATTAGTTCAAAAGACTGTTACGTTACAAATAGCTTTCCACTGAAAACGTATTGGTAATGAAGAGTATGTGGAACTATTTTATTTTACTGTAAAATAAGGTCGAAAATGCTCGAAGAAAACTATATTTTTCCTTTTTTTAGTTTGGTGGATTCCGCGCCAAAAAACTTTTTAATATTTTGGACTGCTACATTACATTAAAAAATACTGCCGACTTGATTTTTATATAGAAAACTAATCGCTGATTTTTTTGTCGTATACTTTTTTTTATTAACTTCAAAATAATACAAGGCAAGCGAAGAGAGGCAAGTATAATGCAAAAAAGTGGTGCACTTTAAATATAAACTACCCTTTAGTTTCATGTTGTGCTTTCTTAATTTTCGTTTATTTAAAGTTGTCTCAAGAATAAGTGATTTTCATGTTTTAGAGAAGGAGATTTGCGTTAATATTGATATTCTCCGATACCTTAGAATATGTATTACCCAGATATAATCCAAAATCTGCGAAACCTCAGGAAAAAAATTTTCCCCTTGGTTTCGTTTTCGGCGATTAGGGCCATATGTATTTACATACGAGTATCATTGATTCGTGCTAAATATATTTTTTTAATCTTTTAGTGAAAAACATGTTTTAGCGTTACACTAATTACCTGTGCAATACATACAAACATACATATGTATTCAAACGTTTTTTGCTCTGCGCATTTGGCCACCTCAGCGCTTTTCGACTATGGTAAAAAAGTAGGAGTGACAGCAAACATAAATTACCCCAGGAGATTAGCAGAAATGTTAACCTCTTCATATTTCCAATGTATACGTTTTATCGAGCGAATAATTTTCGGAGCTCACAGGAGTTCCCACGAATATCTACCAACTGCAAATTAAATACATACCTGTAGAAACCCTGTAGTTCTGAACTGGTGCGCTTCTAATACATTGAGACCCAGTATTAGTTCGCGATCACTCTCTTTTGCATGCATATCCTTGGAAGTGTGAATTGCCCCCGCTGCATTCCTTTTTCTATAGTCCCGAACCAGTTGTAAATTCGTCATCTTAGATATAGATTTTTAATGGAGACTGGTGGGGCTCTAGTTACTATCGGGCTGGTTAATTTTTGGTCTAGTACGGAACTATAAAATTGATTTACTAGTCCGCGGTTTCCATACTCTTTAGTGGGATAACGGATCGTCAAAGTATCCGAAAATGGGATCGGTTAACGGACAAAAATCCGCATTGCATCCACGTTTCTTTCCGTTTTCAACAACATTTAAGAAGTTAAAATGTCAGGGGGTCAGAAAAACAGTATTTACCATCAATTTGCTCCGGCAACATATCTTAGGAATCGATGATGCGTAGTTCTCTTGGTTGGTTCAAACTTTAGTTTATTTTGCTTTGGTAGCCAAATTAATATTTAACATTTTTAGTCGACGTCTGCGTTTTCAAACTTCTTTGAGAGCATCGCCCCATGGGTACTCATCAATTTTGTTACATAACATTTTTGGAGCAGATTTTTTATCAACTGTTGCCTCTTCTAATCTTTGTGTAAGGATTTAAAATGGTCTCTTAAGTCATTCTGCTTTTCAGCTGTCTACCAATAAAGCGACCTTCGTGTAGTTTTGCGAAATTTTTTCTCATTAACGAAAAGCTTTGGAAAGCTATTTTTAGATAGCTTTATCTTGTACCTCATTATAGTTTTATAAGATTGTTTTTATCTAACGTCAACATACTTAAGTCCTGCCATATTGGAGGGAAATATTATTTACATACATAACTCATTCCAATAGCTCAAACATCGCTTTGAGAGTAGATACTACAAATCTATCAGTTGATTTTTGCTGATAGTCTTTAAGGGCAAAAGGCATTTTGAATAACATAACTCCTTCATGTTCAAGTTTTTTTGTTGCCGATGCTTGGCAACCGCTGCGTCTGAGTGGTAAGAGGTCGGTAGGATCTAGGTTCATCTTTGGTCCAATGCATACGAATATAAATTTATTTTCTAACTGCGGTCGCTGCTTGGCAATTCTCCAGTGGTATTTCTGTCATGAGAAAACTTCTAATAAAGCGCTTCGCCATTCGGAGACGGTGTAAAACTGTCGGTCCCTCAATTTGTTTTATAACATTAGAAATACACCACAAATAGGAGCAGAAGCTCGGCCAAACACTTAGCAAATATACCTACATATGTATAAGTGCATTTTTTTCTTTTTGTGGAAGAGCATGCCGAGTCCTTTTAATGTCTAATATGCCCCATACATATGATTGTGTCATCACATTTGGCAATCACTTTTTCAATCCATAAAATTAATGAATTTAAAACATAAAAAGAAAACTATTTTCGATATGTTACTGTATGCATTACGAAAACGTTACATAAATAACTTTTTAACTTTTTTTTTATTAATATCCTTTCAGCGCACCAGCACCTCTGTGTGGGGTGAATGGATGGGTGTACTGCACGGCGATGAAATCGAGTACTTCTTTGGTCAGCCATTGAATACGTCGCTACAGTATCGACCAGTCGAACGGGAGTTGGGCAAGCGGATGCTGAATGCGGTTATTGAATTTGCAAAAACTGGGTAAGTGCCACTATGAATATTTATGAACTCTCCAACGTTTCAATAATACAGTGATTCAGAACTGTAGCCTAGTATACGAGCATATTTGCTCATGCATTGTGAGCTTTAATATGCAATGCTGAGCAATAAAACATTAAGAGTGGCCAACACTCGAAATAGTATTTGCCAACACCAGCGCATTTCAAGTGCAATTTTAATCGCAACAGTTTTCGACCATAAACCTTTCAAGTAGAACGGAAGCAGATGGTACATATTTATGTAAATAAGTGTGTTTATACTTTTATGTATTTAGATACGTTTGCTTCCGATGAGTTGCTTATACGACTCGGTGCACAAAACGTCCTTTAGCTTTATCGATGTATGTAAGTGAGAGTGTTTTCTTTATTTAATCTTTTTTTGCTCATCAGGCAAATAGGTTAATGGAAATCTGAATGTGAAGGCTGTGACTAATATAAATAGTTAGATTGTCAAGGGGATTGCTTAGACTATAAGGTTTGGTCCTTTGTAATACCACTGCGAACAGTTACTGCTAAGTTAAAGCGATAATCGTTGCTTGCCGAGAACGAAGTTTCGCAGGCCGAAGATGCTACTCCCAGAGGGCTCCGGACAAGTCTGAGAGTACGAACCTAAGAATCTAAGCCGCAATCTAGCAACATCTGGGCAATCTAAGAGAAGGCGCTGATATGATTCCATGCAGCTGCGACAGAAGGGATCTGGTGTGATATTTAATCTCATCGCATCAACACCCAAAGGAGGGTGGCCGGCCAGCGCACCCACTGGAATCGAAAGATCCGACATGGTGAGCCTAAGGAGATTCGTAGACCCTTCCCGGTTCACTCTCGGACAGAATGACCAACAGTAGCGCAAGCCTTTTTTCCTCCAAATATTGGATGAGTTGACCTAAGGTCCCTATGTCCAAGAACAGTCCACAATTAGTATTTTCTTGGCGATACTACCTAGAGGCTGCCGCCTCTGGTCAGTTCATAAAGCCACGCAGTTTCCTTCGATATGACTATGGCCTGGCATACATGCAAGTATGATAAACTAGTATTCTGATGCAACCGAAAGTGAATTAAGGCATTTCCAACAAGCTTCGAGCATACTGTCAGTGAGTCCAAGGCTCTGATTGTTGTCTAGCTGTCTGAGTAGATGTTAACCTCCCTTACCGCTATCGCGCGCAACAGCAGCCAATCGACTGCTTCTTTAATGGCAACAACATTCACCTGGAAAATACTAAAATGGTCTGTAAGCCTTAATTTAAGGTTGATGAAGAGCTGACCCTTTCGTCAAGCTTGGACACGTCCGTGTAAAAGTACACCGCTGCATCCTTCCAACCACTATTCTTGCGCACTAATCTCTTACTGTGATGTGCGTGGAGAAAAATCTAGCCGGTGCCAAGTTAGTCACGTAGTAGTCTGTATTATAAGGGATGAACTCGAAGCCACCGAGAATACTAAAGTGTCCAGAATTCGAGCCAGTCAGGCAGCCAGTGCTTAAAAGTCTGACTTTCGCCCTTGCTGCATCTGATTTAACTGTGATATCAACAGACGCTATCTTAACCACGTCGCTAAAGGGCAAGGTCCCCAACAGATGAGGACTCCATAAAGAATAGTGGGCTTATCTAAGATTTCAAATAGCCAGAAACAACCTTGGAAGAAAAGAGCCTTCTCTTACTTATAGAACCCCTGAAGCCTTCCTCGATATTTGGCTTTCATGACAGATTTCTATCAAGAATCAAGCCCAAGTAAAACCCGCAAGGCGAATGTCCCCGAACGAGAAGGAGTGGCGTGGAGCACTTTATACTTCCTAGTGAATAAAAAGAGTTCCATTTTAATAGCATTTATAGCAAGCCCGTAAGCTCAAGTATCCTTGTGTTAAGGCTTGGAAAAATTTGCCGCTCTCGCCAACTCCTCTAGTAGGTCGTTAACGCACTCACCGCGAGCACGCGTATCGATCTTGAGGATTCATAGCATCCTCCCATGCCTTCGCAGAAGGCACGCCAGGAAACCCTCTTAGCATTCTAGACTTTGGACTTGAAAATTCCCAGCCCTATTTTGTAGAGATCCACCTTAGAGAGTAACTGAGTCCTGTGGGCTGTAATAAACAGTCATCTGATTGACAACCTCAGGTCAGAGAGCTTCGGTGTCCAACAGAGAGCGCCGTTGTTAGCAGTGGAGGAGACCTCCACTAGTTCATATATCGAGGTTTGGTACACACAAGAGTTCTCTTCAGGTGGCGGTAGGAGGGCAGATTGAAAATTCCTGCACTAGCCCTCCCGGCTTATTTCCATCAGGTTTCTGAAGGGGGTCCTAATTGGGCTAGCTTACAAAACACGAGCGTGTAGTCGTCTCACTTCAGCTTTCTATCCAGAATCTTAGCTTAAAGTTTAAATTTATTTGCGAAGCATCTGTTGGCATTAGCTGAAGCTATCCTTCACAATTGGTGTAATTTTTAGTTAAGCCACAAAATGCGTCAACTTTGTGACATATACAACCCCAGTTTTGCATTTTTGACCGTCTGCAGACGGCATTGCCGGTTCTTAGGTCAACATTGTGTAAGAGAAAGCTGAAAATATGTGTAAGTATATCGGCGAGCCCGTCTCCAGACGGTCTTGGTTTTTCTCCCCTGTAGGAAAAAGTTACTGTCACAGATCGAAATGGACATCTACATCATTGGCCTACTAGAGGGTTAAGCATTTTTCTTTGGTGTCAAATCTTTCTTATTAAATATTAACAGGAAATAGTAAAAGTAAGCTCACGAATTTCGATACGATACCATATCGATATTTTTTCCATTCGATACCGATACATTTTACTCGATAGTTTGCAAACGATATTTATTGGAATCGAGTACGAGAACCATTGTATCGTATCGAATCGTAAATGTACATTTCAAAGTTAATGTAGTTAAAACAAAGTAATGTACATTATATTAAAAATAATTGTCTTTTATCAAATTCTTTTTGATGTGCTTAAGGAAAAGTACATACGGGCATTTCAAATCTGGAGGGGCGTGTTGAAATGATGAAAAAATAAAATGAAAACGTCAGAATTTAAAAACTCCGGAAAGTGGGCAAGCCTATTTGTATAAAATTTTTTGTAGTAATATCTGAAATATTTAAGGTTAATTTTCCAAGTTCCAAAATGTAAACATTTTTCCTGCTTTTTTTGTCAGCCGCAGTTTTTGACGTGACGTTACTTTACTAACATATCCAATGAAACTGGATTTGTTAATATTGTTACTAAATTAATTTTTGACTCAAATAAAATATGCATTTTATGTCGAATATGTTTTTTAATTAGACTTCATTTCCATTTCTTGAAAATCTATGTCGTACCATGACCTTCCCCTGGAAGCGCCCATATGTCTGTACTTTTGAACGTATGTATATGTAAAGCAATATGGATATATTTTTTTGGCTTAAAAAAGCACAAATGTAGTCTATCTTAGGTTGGCATGTGGCGGGATTTCAACTAGCGCCTTCGGTAATGTCAATTAACACACTTAACTCTTCATAAGCACACACTTACGTATTAAAGTGCAAAAGTTATCATTCTTTAAGCTTAGTATCCAGCTCTCAAGAAATGCAAAAAATCCATATAAAGTGATGCACAAGAAATTGCAAAGAAATTTTATTGTGAAAAATTTCCTTAATGCAGCACGCAGTTCTTAAAAAATTAGCAACGCTTTCTAAAAAGAGCACAAGGCAGCCCATGTTTGTAACAGAAATATATGGCCGTTCCATTATTTCTTGAGGAAAGAGTGAGGCAACAGGCTGTAAAATATCAGATGTAAAATACAAATTCCTTGGACACACACACACACGAAATAATGGCATTTTTTTCTTGATCATTTTCTTGAGAGATGCATAGTGGCCATTATTAGAAAATGAGACGAATATTCAGAATTAATTTTCGAGTCCCTTTATTCCGATATTAATGGGTACCCGATAATTTTAAAGCGATATTTCAAATGAGTACTATATCGATACTTTCCGTTCGATAACGGGCCTCTAAGTAAAAGCGCTCCAAAAACTGCACAAATATAGAAAAAACCCTGGTTAAAAGAAACGTATCTAACAAAATCATGTGAGTATAAGAACGGGTGTATTGTGGAACATTTCTTTACGAAAAATATGAATGGCATTTGTAATGTAGCCAGTGGCAGTGGCAGTTACAGTTTTTAAAATCACCTATTTTTGCTAATATTGGCAGTCACTGCCGCAGCAGACGTAATACGGCGTTGTCAGTGACTCCTTTTTTTGACATTCCTTTTTGTTTGTTTACATTGTTGTTGTTGACTTTTAGGCTTCAGTGACATCAACCGAAGTTGGCTACGTTTCATTTATGTCAAATTCAACATGCGAAGTTTGCTGCGATGAAGGCAGTGGCAGTGAATTTAGAATTTGGCCTAAACTGAGTAGTAGACACTTTCTAAAAAACAGCTGATTTCGAAAAACTGCCGCTGCCGCTGCCACTGCGTTATTGTATTTTGGGCTTTATGTTGCAAGAATGTTAAAAATATTTACCATAGGTAAACAAGAAAGACTATTAGCTTTATCTTTTCTCAAAATAATGTTGCATTCATTCTGCTCTGCGCCTGGGCTGTCAAGCTCTCGTGTTCTTTTCTGAGTATCTTCACAAGCATATTGCCTGCTCTTTGTTTCAAATGTTGCACTGTGATAATGTTGCTTACTTCTAAAATTATTTATGTACATACATATGTACTTATGGTAAGTTGCATGCAACAGCAACTGCGAATGGGTTAAAGCAAAGCTTCGCTTCTTTCCATAATTGGTTTGTGTCCGAAGTAACCGGCATTGAAAGCAAAGTTCGCGCAGAGAAATGCTAAGAAATGAGAAGGCGCATTATGGCAAAGAGCTTTTCGTAAGTGATATACTGCACTCGCCTGGTAGCCACCACGCTTTACGGAAATACACCATACTACATTGGCTGGTATCCAGTGTGCGGATTTCTTTTTTTTTAGTGGTAGATACGCCTTGAAAATTGTGGTAGATTCCAAAACAACGCACAGAAGATTCTATGTGTAATTCCAAGAGAATTTGCCGAAGTAACCGTGGGTCCAAAATCGATTTGGGGTTTGGCAAATTGTCAAAATAGGTTTCTTAGCATTTTGGGATAGTGTCGTAAAGTAGTGCTTTAATTTTGTATAAAAATATGCTACAAAGCGCTTTTTGGCACGAGGAGTTCATTTCTGCACTTATCCTTTTCTCAAATTTTCCACCGAAGGACCCAACAATGAAAATTTTGACATTTCGAAACCTTTTTCGCAATTTGGCAAACTCAAAGTTGAATTTAGACCCGTACATACGAGAAAGGCGCTTTGAACGAAATATTTGTAGTTTGCCTAAAATTGGGAAACGACTCTAACTACTCAGAGAGGCGGGTGTCATCTTTGTCCCATCCGCCACATTTGAAAAGGTTAATTTTCTGTGTAAATTATATAATTAAGTTTTATACATTATTAGTTTCGTAATAATCAGATTACTATCTGAATTCAAGTGTTAAGATTTTGAGACTTATCCAATAAGTGGTTAAAGAGAAATGGCTTAAATTTTGTGCAAAAACGAGTTAAAATGTCCCACCCGTCACGGTGGAATGCCCCGTTTTCATAAATCGTTCCATTGAGTGTACTCCCGTCTAAAGCTACTGATTTCGCAGCTGAATTACACCAATTCACTGATCCTAGCACCTAACAAATTTGGCACGTGTTGAAAAGAAACAGGATTAAATTAGAAAATGGAATGCGAAAATTAGAGCCAACGTCGTATTCACAATTGTCTAATTCACGATATCACACAAAATCAACAGAATATTAAGGATGGCAAATTCAACCACATTGTAACGGGTGATTTTTTTGAGGTTAGGATTTTCATGCATTAGTATTTGACAGATCACGTGGGATTTCAGACATGGTGTCAAAGAGAAAGATGCTCAGTATGCTTTGACATTTCATCATGAATAGACTTACTAACGAGCAACGCTTGCAAATCATTGAATTTTATTACCTAGAAAAGTTGGCAGAAAATCCGCTTTTTTATCGACAAATTTTGTTCAGCGATGAGGCTCATTTCTGGTTGAATGGCTTCGTAAATAAGCAAAATTGCCGCATTTGGAGTGAAGAGCAACCAGAAGCCGTTCAAGAACTGCCCATGCATCCCGAAAAATGCACTGTTTGGTGTGGTTTGTACGCTGGTGGAATCATTGGACCGTATTTTTTCAAAGATGCTGTTGGACGCAACGTTACGGTGAATGGCGATCGCTATCGTTCGATGCTAACAAACTTTTTGTTGCCAAAAATGGAAGAACTGAACTTGGTTGACATGTGGTTTCAACAAGATGGCGCTACATGCCACACAGCTCGCGATTCTATGGCCATTTTGAGGGAAAACTTCGGAGAACAATTCATCTCAAGAAATGGACCGGTAAGTTGGCCACCAAGATCATGCGATTTGACGCCTTTAGACTATTTTTTGTGGGGCTACGTCAAGTCTAAAGTCTACAGAAATAAGCCAGCAACTATTCCAGCTTTGGAAGACAACATTTCCGAAGAAATTCGGGCTATTCCGGCCGAAATGCTCGAAAAAGTTGCCCAAAATTGGACTTTCCGAATGGACCACCTAAGACGCAGCCGCGGTCAACATTTAAATGAAATTATCTTCAAAAAGTAAATGTCATGGACCAATCTAACGTTTCAAATAAAGAACCGATGAGATTTTGCAAATTTTATGCGTTTTTTTTAAAAAAAAAGGTATCAAGCTCTTAAAAAATCACCCGTTATAATGAGCAAAATTGTAAAATGTGGTAGAAACGCAATTTAGCTAATAAAGTAGTAGGTCTACCACAAAAGTGGAATAAAGAGTCCGCACACTGCAGGTATCACGATTTTCAATGAAATCCACCTTTTTAACAAGCTCTTAGGTTTATATGAGTCAATCTTACAACCTTTTTATAGCATTAAAGGGTGCCATAAAAGCTTCTGTTAACTACGTTCATATAACAGAAAAGAGCTTTCGAACGACACGCTATAATCAGTGTATGTAGTAGATAAGTTGAGACTAACATTATCTTTTATAACAGAACACACACACATAACTACGTACATACAAATGTTCCCAACAGGAACAGAAGAGCTCCATTAGTGCTATTGGAGCTTTCCATATTCAGCAGTAAGCCCTCCCTTCCTAATTTAAAAACCAGTGTTGCCAGAGAAATCCGTTCGTAGCTAAAACGGTCGAAAACAAGAGCTAAATAATACTAATAGCTGCTAAAATGAAGAGCTACATGTTTTTTTTTTTAAGTGGAGCATTTATTGACGTAAAGTTGTTTTTACATTTTCCAATTCATTGCTACGGCACTTATATGTATGCATACACTTATATAAACCAGACAATGAACTATAAATACTTTAGATAGAAACTATAAAAACTGCAATTTCAGATATTTGAATTGATCATAAAAACTCGGGTTACGTAAAATTTTTTCCAAAAATTTTTTTTTGGAAAGTTTTATTTCCAAATTCCGCATTTTCAGAAAAAGAGTTTTCTTCTAATTATTTTTTTAATTCTTTAACCTAGATTCAGGGGTTTGTGGTGGAGCCTGTATTTTCAGGTATATACAAATGTATATTTCCCCACTGCATTTCGAAACTTGTAATTTTGTCAACGCTAACGTTTTGGCTTTCCTTTTCTACCGTGGCCGCCTGAGAGATAATACACCGTGTGACCTTATCGGAACTCGAATCACTGTCCGTTATATTTTGTGTACTTCCGCGAACGTGGTATAAACTAATCGACTTACATACTTGCCAATTTTCCATTTGCTGACGCGCCATTTGTATTAGCAATGTAACTTTTCTAAATATTAATCGAAATAGAATAACATGAAGGAATCGAAAATAGCCTGAGATCACCAAAGTCAAACAAATTTTAGTCAACACTCGCAAAATGAAATTACAGATCTTTAATTTGTATATATTACCAAATATAACTAAAACTTACTGGAGCTAAAAAAAGTGCTAGACAATTTTGAAAAGGCCTAAAAAAGAGCTAAGAGCTAACGCCCGGAGCTAAATAGAAAAATTAAGAGCTAAATCTAGCTCCAAAAGTACCAAAATGGCAACACTTTTTTTACTTTTTTTTACAAACGTAATAAGCTCCGTAATATCTTAAGAAATAAAAATGTGTCTAAGTAAATAAACGACTAAAATGATTTTAGGGGATTCAACGATAAATATAATTAATTAGCTGACCACAAGGATATTTCTCCCTTGATAGCCAATTCCTCAGATAGCGAACAATATCATGCTGCGTCTGAAGAAATCTTGTTTTAATTTTTTCGTAAATATTTGCTTTTTTTCTCCTAAATACATACATTAATTTCATAAAATCACCTAGCGCGGAATTGAAAAAAGCAAACAAATAATTTTGGCCGCATGAAAAGTTAAAATACCCCTATGTGGGAGGGAGGAAAAACTACATACATACACTGCCGGAACAAAATATTTTCACAGCAAATTCTTCACAATATATGCAACAGTTTTCATTCTAATATTTTTTCGCTAATTTCGTGTAAAAATATGGTTCATTCTACAACAAAAAGCATAAAAATATAATTTCTAATCTTTGTGCAAAGCTTGCGAAAATTCAGCAAATTTTCATGAAAATTTTCAACTTAGAATTTTTTAGAATTTTTTTGAGTATGCAGATTTGTAGCCCAATCAATTTTATAATAATGAAATGCAAGTTTTAAGTAGCTAGGAATTACCGCTTTTACATATGTATATGGAAAAAATGCACAAGACCTTCAACAAAAAAATTCTCAAAAATCAACGCGAATTTTGACTAACTCCAAACTTGCATTTATTTTACTAGAATTTAATGGGCTGCAAAACTGCATACTCAAATACTCTAAAAAATCTGATTAAAAAGTTGAAAATTTTGATGAAAATTTGCTGAATTTTCGAGAGTTTTGCACAAAGTTTAGGAATTAAATTTTTATGTTTTTTGTTGTTAAATGAAGCATATTTTTATACAGAATTGGCGGAAAAATATTAGAATAAAAATTGATGCATATATTGTGAAAAATTTGCTGTGCCAATACTGTGTTCCGGCAGTGTAGTTTAAAAATGTGAATACAGTTTGGTTCATACATATGTATGTATGTATGTATGTATGTAAATAGTATGAGCAATAATTTTTAAGTATGTTCGAAATTTAATATTTCATTATTTACATTGCATTTTCAATTGTTCTCATTTATAGTAATCCTGCTGCAGATGGTGAAGAATGGCCAAATTTTACAAAGAAAGATCCCGTCTATTATGTTTTTTCAACTGATGAAAAAGAAGAAAAACTGCAACGTGGGCCACTGGAAGGACGTTGCGCATTCTGGAATGAATATTTGCGTGAAGTCAGAAAATGGGGAAGTAAGTAAAATTATTTGTATACATATTTGTATAAACAATTGTTGAGATTTGAGCTTATCCTTCGGTAGAAAAATATTTTGCTGGCTTCTTAGTTTGATATGCTTGTGCGTAATTTAATAATTTACCAGTGGATTATGCTCTTTCATTTAACGATGTATTAATGTAGATATTTTTAGTTGGCCAGACCAATTATGTACATATATGCAAATACATATTTATGTATGCTTGAATTCTAACATACGCGGAATGAAATACGAACAAATTTTAAGAGGAAAACCAAATCCATTTACTTACTATAAAATGCAGCTGCAAAGGGGCGATTGTCTTGGACAAAGTGGCTCGCTATGCAAATGTGCATCTCTAAAAATTCGCCTATGGTTTGTGCGCTCAACAACGTAAAGAAAAGGTATACAAGTAGAAAATGCCTGTATTGCGTGGCATTGATTTCAGACAGAGAGGCTTCACATTTTTACAGAAATACAAAACGAATACTTAAAGATGGGGAACCGTGTTTCAAGGTGTGAGTAGTTGGTTGCTGTTAATCAGAATAAGTTGAAGAAAAAAAAAGTTTTTTTTACATTTATCGCTCTTTACGCTTACATATGTACATGCATACATACAAAGGTATATACATATCTTCGTACTCCGAACATATGTAAGATATCTTACAAAGATCAAAGGCAATCATCGGTCATTAATAATACTTCTTACCCACCACCGTAGTTTCGGTGACAAATAAACACTGAATATTGAAAAGAGTGCACACATTATAGAAATTAGAAAAAAAAAACATACTATTAATAAATGAACAGACATTGTGACGCAGCGTTAACATAGCCAATGGCCACATAAAAGTTTTGGTACCAAAATTTGCATTTCTAATGAGGAGAAGTAACATAAATAGAAGGCGTTAAAATCCCCAATTATACATACAAAAGTGAAAAAAAAATTAAAACGCAATTTCTACAATCTTTCTATGAATATCGATTAGTTTCTAACTCAGATCGCTAAGAAATATGTACCTACATTAGGCAGGGTCACGTAAAAATTTTATAATAACTTTTAAATTTTGAAAGCTTAGATCTTTCAAGAGGTTTTTGGCGTCATTAAAATCTCAGCCATTTTTCTCTTATAACTTGTTTTTTACACAATTTTAAAGTGAAAGGTATCGTTGAGAAGTAGCTCTGTATATAAAAAAAAAACTATATAATCTAATAGCTCATTTCCACCAAGCCCTAACGGCAATTTACGCCTATTGGAAAAAGGATACTACAACTGTATTATTGAGCATAAGCAAACGAAAGTAAAAAACTAAAAGTAAGATATAAACCTTGTCGATCGATCTATGTAAAAAATATTGGACCTGAGCTCTTGACTGCAGTTAAGCTTTTTGCGGAAATGCGATATTAATTGCTACCCCACTAAATTTAATTTTAGTTTACAGTAATCTAAAAATTCTAAGAATTTAGTAGATGAAAAATTTATTTCTTGATATGTTAATAGATTTAGTCCAACAATAAACACCAGTTTCACCAATCTATTTTGAAAATTTTCAGACAGTTAAAAATTTAAAATGGTAAATTTTCGGAGCAAAATTGTGTCCTTTTAAATTTTAACAGGCTGATAGACATAAAATTGATTGGTGCAACCGGGCATTAGAGATCAAAAATACTATTTCAGTGATAAACCACTTCTTCAAATTTAGTCATAAAAGTTAGGGGAAAAACTTGCTCAGGTTGGAAGTTTTTATTATGCTAGAATAACTTAATTTAGTAAAATATTAGATGAAAAAATAGGTCATAAACTTTATTATTCCAACGTTCGCTGATCTATGATTTGAGCACCAAGTGTCTTTGTTATACCTAAACAAAGAGGAATACGATATTGACGGTGAAAAAAAACACTCATCGTAGGCAATAAATTTAAAATTTGTTTTCGATTTGCATATTAGGTATGAGATTCGTATAATAGAAACAATTAAATGCAGCAAATTAGCGGCATCAACCACAAAATGTTAATTGTGGCATACTTATCCACGCACATCTTCATATACATACATAAACATACGTATGCATATTCGTAAATCTTTCCTATCAAATAGATCTTTAGTGACTCATTGCAGCATTTAATCAGACATCGAAGATTTCAACTACATTGCTCGGAGGCATTCGAGAAAGTTCACATAAGAAAAACGAGAACAATCGATCAATCTTCACATAACCTTTATACATAACTATATATACATTTGCACTAAGTGATGACTAATACTTTCTGTATGTGTTTTACACAAGTCAATATTTTCGATGAAGCAGCAATATTTACACTCTGTTACAAAATCAAAACAAAATGCAACTTGGCTGGCTTAAGTCATGTCCGTCTGTTTGTACGCAAAATAGTCCCTCAGTTTTCCAGATATCCTGAAATTTGGTAATGTAATAAACATTTGTCGAAACCGACAACAATACATACATATGTATGTATGTATGGAAGCAATACAACTGTTCGGAAATGTGATTTAGCATTATAGCTCCTCTGACTATAGCGGCTGTTCACTAATCATGAATAGGCAGTTTACAGCGAAGATCGAGTCACTCTAACATTTAGCTGCCATAGAAGTGATTGGTTTGGAACCATTTTTTGTGTGGTATCTTCTTCATTTAGACATACAAGGCTAACTGAGAAAATCGCCAAGATCGGAGCTCTATGCTATATACGTCATGGCACTGATTATTCAGATATGAGTTTTGTGGTATAACTCATCCATTGAGGTAGTCAAGTTTTTAGATAAATTTAACTCATCCATTGAGGTAGTCAAGTTTTTAGATAAATTTAGATAACTCTGCGTTTCCAAAACTGCCAATAATTTCGTTAATGCGAAAATTTACTCGATTTGATAGTTTTATAAATTTCCATGTCTATCCACAAATTTCGATAATTCTTTACACTCTGGTAACCCGATAAATCGATAAACAATAATAACTAGAGAAATTCCTGTAAATCTAGAAGTTTTGATAGCCCAATATACCTTTATATTTCCAAAAAATTCCATAAACAAAACTGACAAATTTAGATAAATCGATAATTGTAAAAAACTCGATACATCACGACAACTCGATAAATTGCATTAACTCGATAAACTTCGATTACTTTATAAATATTTGTCACTCAATAAATATTGATTTTTCAATAAATATCATATAAAATTAAATTTCACTATATTGATAAAATTTTGGTAATCCGATAATTTTTTATAACTCGGTACATTTCGATATCTAAGTTTCTTTGACTCGATAAATTTCGGCAACTCAATAAAGAACCATGCTACAATTTGCATGTTGCCATTTTGCAATGGGGGCTCTCGTACTCTTGCAAATTTGGAATAGCATTTTTGCATTCGATACAATCCGTGCTACGTACAAGACATCGAGAATAACCCTAGTGTGTACGTTTCAGATTTCCTCCGCAATTTTTTCATTATTACAGCGTATTTAGCAAAAGGCATTATTTATTTAAACATGACAAATATTCTTTTATCGAAAGCTGTATTAAATTTTGAATAAAAACAAATATATATATATTTTTCTTATTTGATATTACAACCATTTGTCGACTTGGGCAGAGACGATAAAATTTCTCCATTGCCGCCCTCCTTTGCGACGGTACTGCAGTTGTTCATACCGAGTGAAAACAAGTATGTACTTCTGCGCTCGGTCCCATAGAGATCTGCTTTTCATTTTCCTGCCTAACACCTTTCGGAAAGAATAATCCGGTTAGTCACTGAACCTGATCTGCAAACGCGACTTAATATTTACTGTTGAACAATGCCATTTATTGTCTAAATGAAAACCGCAAATATACAACGATTTGTGCTAATAGTGCGATTCATGTTTTTTAATTAGTATATGGTCACTTTAGAAGCAAGAAAGCATTCAAATTTATATCATCCATTTGCATGATTTATTAGTCTATGAAGGAAAATAAAAACTTTATATTTTCGCATGAATCGTGGATATTTCCAAGAATTAGTCGTTATGTGAGTTTGTTGGAAGAAAAAATTCAAAGTTAGAAAAAATAGTTGACCATATTTCTTCTTAATTTGAGGATGTATTAAAAACAATTGTGTGACGTGCAATAATCATTATTGAATAATATCAACAGTGTTGCCATTTTCGCCGTTTTCCGGCTAGATTTAGCCGGTTGTGATAGCAAACAAACGGAGAAATTTCGCTTTTGCCGGAAGCCCATTTTTTAGCCGTTTTGTAAAAAATATCCGTTTTTAGCCGATTTTGCTATTTACCTTGTTTTCCTAAAATTCAAGTTAATATGTTTTCATTTTTGACTAAGCGATCCAAAATCTGTTAGAAATGGCTACTAGCCTTATTTTTTATTTTAATTTTTTAATTTTTTTCATTTAAAAAACGAATATATTTTTTCTAAAGAAGGCCGTAACGGGGATTTTTTCATAGAATGTTGGTTATGAATGGACAAAATTTAAGTGTGAAGTTTTATTCGCAAGCTTAGAAAATAACAAATTGTTTCACAGTTTGCTCGACACGCGTTTGCTATTGGATATAGTGCCAAGAATAAATGTTACAGGTATTGTCTTCCCAGATTGCGCATATTCAATTCTGCCTTAATTACAAATAGTCATGACTATCGATAGTGGGCGATATTTTTTTAAACTATCGATTTTCTATCGATAGTCGCTTATTTTGAAAAAGATAAAATATCTAATTGGGGCATATTTATAGTCAAAATTAAGTTGGTACTTAAATTTGTTTATGTCAAAAAGCTACAACTAACTTCAAGTACCAACTGTATTTTTACTAGGAATACGTCCCATTGCATTAAATATAGTTTTTAAAAGACTATAAGGACCTACCTTAATAATGGAAGTATAATATAAAAAACTAAATATATTTACATATTCTGCTTTCTAAAGCCAGTTGTTTCTATTTAAGAAGCATAGCATGTTAACATTTTTAAGTTAACAGCATCTT